TATTATTATTATTATTATTATTATTATTATTATTATTATTATTATTATTATTATTATTACTTACTAAGATATATTAAATTTGTATTTGCATTTCAGTAACAATATTTATATAAAGCACAAGATTTATATAAATTGAAATGTAGATAAAAGCATAAGAGATGCAAAAATAATATCAATTAGAGATTTAATTAAATACGTTAAAATGTAAAGATATGAATATTGATTTATAATGTTAATGTTTATCGTTTGAAAATCATAAAAAAAATCATTCTTGCAAATATTAAATTGATTTGATTTTTAACTTTGATTAAAAAAATTTTTTTAAATAGAAGATATATATTGAAATTAAAAATTATGATATAATTTTCTAACAACTATTTTTGCATCTCTTTGATTAGACATAAAATTTGAGATATGTACTAGTCGCGTCGCGAAACCATTATAATTTTTTATTTAACAAAATACTCCAAAAATAACATTATTCTATATTGCATTTTATCGTAATGAAATTTATACGTTATATAAATCATCATAAATGATTATAATAGACTATATATGTTTCACGTTTTTATTTAATGAAAATATAAAAATTTATTACGTAGTAAGAATATTTTTAAAAAGTCTTCATATAGAGTCGAGATTTTAATTGCAATTTTTACGTTTAGCTCCCATATATGATATACAGAATAAAATGTATACGTAATAAAGTAATATAAATAAAATATTAATAAGATATAAAATATAAGTTTATCATATATATGGAATAAAATTATATATCATCACAGAAGAGTTGATTTTTTATAAAAAAAAGATAAAAAAAAAGACTTAAAGATTTTTTTGAACATAAGTATAATTATATATATCTATTTGATTATTTTATATATATTTTAAATATTTAGAATCTATAATAAATCGACAAAATTTACTTTGATATGAAGACTTTCTTAAATTACAATTTATCTAAAATTTATGTAATGTTTTTCGTCATAATTGGAATCTAATACTTAGTGTGTCAATTTAAATTCATAGACTATTTATGTAAATATTTACATCGTTAAGAGAAACCTTCTTATGTTGGTCGCATCGCATATCTCATTAAATCTAAATATATATATAAATATGTATATATATGTATATATATATATATTCATCTTTGTTTCGTCGAATGAAGGGAAGACCTATATTTTTTTTTGTCTCCGTAAGAATTAAATCTTCATTGACTGTCCTTTCTAAACTTTAATTTTATTGTAAACGTTGGTGACTAATCACTTTTATAAAGCAATTAATTACTATCATTTAATCAATGACTTTTCTTAAACGATCGGGAACATTTTAAAGCTTACAAGTTTAACTTATTGAGATATGTTAAACCTTGCTCTTTGTATTATTATATTATATCTTAATATAATGATTTGAGAAAAGAATTATTAAGGATTTAATCAAAATAATAAAATTATAACGATAACTATAAGAGATTCTTAAATTGTATAAACTAAATTTAGTAATCGTAAATAAATATATATAAATAAATTATTAAATTGTTCCTCTTTATCACAGTCGTAAAAAGTAACGACACATTTCTTATTTTAATATAAAAAAATTCTTCTAGTTATATATAGAAATTAATCAAATATAATTATTATTTCCTATCTTATTCCCGAATCGTTTTAATTCTTTGTCAATATTTATTTCGTTGTTATATTTTTTTTTCTCTCAATAACGTATATTTTAAAATATAAATATCATACTTAAGATTAATAAAAATAGCGTAATCTGTTCCAAACAATGCCTCGAATTGGCAGTGTTAATATTTAACCATGGTGGAGGTAGCGATGGCGATACCAATGGCCTTTCTGTTCTATGGCCTTCTTGAAGTGTACTACCAGCCATAATTTGCGTAGTACTAAGATCTTCATCGTGTCCATGAGAATCAAAATCTTCGAAACCTATATGTATCTTCCTGCCGTTGTTATTACTACTCTTTTTTTTCCCTTTCGATATAAGTTTCTTTCGAGGTTTCAGATCGGTCATTTTTATGAAAGGGCCAGGAGTTGTTTTTGCAACAAGATGTAATTCTAAAGAAAAATTAATTACCCATGTTATAATGATATCTTACACCGAAAAGTTATTGTTAATTATATATTATATTGTGTTCTTTTATAATTAAATTTATAATTAATTCATATCATTTGAAATAGTATCAAATTTTTAGAAATTTTTAAATTTCATTTTATACTTAATTTATTTCCATTTAAACTTATAATTTTATTAATAAGCGATCATGAAGTTAATATTATTGGAATTTTAATTTAAATTTGATCAAATCAAATCAAATATTAAATAGGAATGTATACGAAGAAATATTTGTGCTATTAATAAATAAATGCAAGAAAACGCAATAAAACATCACTGGAATTCTTAAATACTTACCTTGTAAACGAACAATGCCATCAGCTTTTCCAAGAGCATTTACGGATGAGCAAACATACTCTCCAAAATCTTTTTTCTCTAAAGAGTTAACGGTAAGGTTCATTTGCCAAGAATACTCGTTCAATGCATATTCTGACATTGTATATTTTTCACTGGGCAGTAGTTTTTCACCTGTTTTCAAAAATAAGAATATTACAATATTTTTCATAATAATAGTTCTACTAAAATAATTAAACATATTTCTTGCAATTTTCAATGCGTCTCTCGTTCATTTTTGCTTGTTCATATTGTTATATACATATACATAATCTATTTTAGACGCCCGATTGGACAAAATAGCAGTGTTACTTCGCCTCATGTTCCTTAAGAATCAGTTGCTGTCTAATGAAATCGGGTTAAAGTTCCCTTTCGGATCAATAGTTAACCCTATAGAATTCGCGAGCTCAATACAAATTCTATTCGGCATTTCGTAACCGCTCTTACCTTCTTATTATCAGTGCATCAAAATAGTAAGTGAGCATCGAATATTAACTTAAATTTATACACTCTTATATCACATATATTTAAAATAAAATTGATTCACTTATTATATATTGATTTAGTAATACCTAATTAGTTAAAAATTTAAAACTCGATTAATAAATTCGAATATTTATAACAAAAAATTATAAACAAAAGTTGCAAAGACATCAATGAACATTTATTTACCTGTATTTTGATGCCAAGTATTCAATGCTTGTGGGGAAGCTTCAACGTGGCATTGAAGAACAACATCGCTATTGACTGGAGCTGCTACTAATTGATTTGTTACTTTTATAACAGGTGAAACTGTAATAAAAACAATCCTATATTGTATTGTGTTATAAAAAGAATAAGATACCTAATATTCGACGACGTCTGATCATAACGTATCTATACTACTACCCTGATCATAATAGTTCTGTACTACTTGACTCTAACAATAATGGACTTATACTACTTGTTTAATACTATAACAGACTTATATTACTCCCTAGATTGTAGGCCTACTATACTATTAGATTGTAAGTCTATTACTTGTTTAATACTATAATAGACTTATATCACTCTCTAGATTGTAGGTCTACTATTTTTCTGATCTATAATGAACATTTATATTAATTGTATAAATATAATAACGTTAAATAAATAATTAATAATATAATAATAATAATAATATATTTGTAAATTGCTAAAAATTTTGTTCCTTATTTATTGCTCTTACTCGTGATTTTTTAATTAAAATTCATTCAATAATTCTATGATAAATACGTACAATGAACTTGTACAGAGTAACGTTTGCTGACTGTTGGAGGTACATTGTTGCTTGCTATGCAAAGATACGTGCCCATTTCTTGTCGAAGAACTCCAGTTAATTCTAAAGTTTCACCTACGTAAGTTTTTAACACTGAAAGATAAAATTAAAATTGTCATTTAAAAATGAAATATATTTACTTATATACGTAAAATAATATAGTGATAGTCGCATTAATATCATGAACTTTTACTTTTACTGCTATTTGTAAATATTTCGTTAATAATTTATATCGTATCTGTTTATAACATTATTATTAAAAATTAACCGAAACATCTTACATTGCTTTTGTCCATCTTCTCGAAGAATGATATTCCGTCCATCTTCTCGTTTCCATGTGACGGTAGGTTCCGGTGAACCGGTTGCAACGCATTTTAACTTTATTTCACCACCTTCGTGAGTTACCATGCCTTCGGCAGATTTATCGTCTATTATATCCGGTGGTATCACCACTTCCACGTATCCGTTCTAGAAATAGAATAATTCAAATTTTCAAGTTAAAATTATTATTACTATTATAATAAATTTCTCTGTCACAATTCTCAAAGGAATCGTTGTTGTCATTTTCATTAATTATTCCACAACGATAAAATATAGAAATTCCTTTTATTTCCTTCTTTAAAAAATATGAGAAGAAAAGTTAATCAAATGATAATCTTACAAGAGGGCCACGATACAAAAATGGCAAATATAAAGTTTTTAATATCATACATGTATACAATTTTTTTAAATTTCACTCACCTGACTTCGCATAGGTTCTGTGTTGATTTGGCACATATAAGCACCGGAATCATTCTTTTGAACATTCGATACGTGCAATTTCCACGTGTTATGTCCATTATGCGTAACCGAGAGTCTTGGATTATGTGCTATTAAATGTGTATGTATTGCCAAAATTGCTCGAGAATCTGACTTCATCCAAGCCACCTAAGAAAGATATACAACAAACTGTGGTAAAAAATTTTTATTCTTCTTTTTTAATGCATAATAATAATTTACGATAAATTTCTTTTTTATATACAATGTGACGCATTTGTATTTTCGATTATGTTCGATGTTAATGCAAAACTTTTTTCGTGTCATATATGATATCGAAAGCTCTTTATTAACAAGATCACGTTTGATCTTTTTTCTCTTTCCCCGAAGAAGCAAGCGCAAACTACCTTGTACGAATGCAGATTATTCACGACACAAGTGAAGAAGATGTCACGGCCCTGGATCACCGTGTGATTCTCCAAAGGAGCTAAAAATTCTGGCAATGGTTCTGGAGTTATTTGACCTGAAAAAAAATTCATTTAAACTTTTTAACGTAATTACGCTGATAACCGTCTCTCATAATATTTTACAATGTACCCGATGAATTTTAGTAAAAAAAATTGTAATATCAAGCAATCGCTTATTTTACCACAGACTCGTATAAACTTTTCCTGCTAGTGTAATAACTTTCAAGATAATATAAAATGTTTGACCAAGACGTTCGCATTTCGATAAAAATTATCTCTCGTCGATCTTGCAATCTTGAACGCAGCTCCTCCATTTTGAACAAAGGAGGGCGCCACGAGAGTGTCTCGCGTAATTACATTCCGTTAAAAGCTTACCGGATAAATCCTTAAAATGCAGTTTCTCGCGATATAGAAAAATAAGTTTACGAGGACAACGAGGGTCATAGTCGAACATAGGTGTCGCGGGATATATATTTATCAGTGTGGTGGTGGTATAAGTAAGTAGCGGTGGTTCGGTGCGGTGAATGGCTTTTTAACCGTTCCTATCAGTCTAAAAAGCCCGAGGTTCTGTTACTTACTGGAAAAGGCTACGTCGCTATTCAGCTCAGAGGCCGCGTGCCCAACTAAATCACGCCGGATTTAAGTGGATTTTACAAACTCCCCCACGTGCGACTACGACGATGTATTGCCCTTGTAAGGTTGTTGCGACGCCATTCTACCGCAACGTGGTATATCCTCGTCTAAAAGATTTCTCTCCTCTCCCCCTTCTCCCCCTCTCCTCCCAGTTTTTTTCATAAAATTACCTACTTCCATTCCATGATTTTTATATAAATAGAACGATGATGAGGTGGATCGTTTCACTTTATAGTTTAACCCAATGATAATATATCCTCGAGGGGGAAAAAATTTCTTATTTTCAATTAAGTGAATATTTCTCGTTCTTGAAATTTTTTATTTAGTTATCATCAAATTCTAAGTCTTCTATACTCAGGCAGCAAAAAAAAAAAATACTTTACCTATTTGATTATATATTTTCATTTACTTCTATTTCTCAATTAATTAATACATCTTGAGAGGAATCGTCGATCTTCAAAATTTATGAATTTCGATAATGCTTCGAACATTTAAAAAATTGTATGATAATCTGCATAGAAAATATGTACAAAATAGGGCAAAAGGATGACAACAATGCAAGGGCATTGGTAAAAGAAAAAAAAATAATGGTAGATTATTTTAAACGAAAGGATAAAACTCACTCACATAAGCAAAGATGCAGAACTGCGGTGAAGAGGGCTGCAAGTTTCCGTGCTGCCATGAGAATCAATCACTTTTGCGACGACAGTTTGGCACGTTACTCGACAATCTGAAATCAGAAACGGGGAATACACTATTTTTTAGATGAAAGAATTTTAAATTTAATTGACGGATCGTGCGACGGATTAACCGGAGGAAAAAATGTTCAGAAAGTTGCAGCTTCGTGTATAAGCAATCCGATCGAATCTCTTTAAGGAATAAAGCGAATAATCGAACAACCAGAGTAATGGATCGTCGACCGATGTTACTTTTGAATGCTCTCGAGGGCTGACCCATTATTCAATGCCAAATCTTAATCAGTCTATTGTACCCCTAATTTTCAATGATTAATTCGAATCAGTCCATTATATCCTTAATTCATTTTTTTGTGGAAAGAAGTGTTGGAAAAGAGGATCGATGGTCATTTTGACAGTTTTTTTTCCCTTTCGTAATTCGAACCGGAAGAATAATAATATATTATTATATATTATTATATAATATATAATAATAATAATAATAAATAAAAATGATAAATTTGATCGGTTTTTTAGCCGCTTTCGATTTTGGAAAATGAATTTTTTTTTTAGACTCGACGAAGTTTTACGACTCGTAAAAGTAGTAAAAATTTTTATTCAAGCTCTTCGATTCATATGATTGAGTTTCAGATTATAGACTTCTTATCTCTATCCTCTTTACTTAAAATTGAAAAAAATCACTTTTTCATCAACTTTCCTATAACTAATTCTATAATACGTGTGTTACATCTCGAGATACTCGAAAGCAACGTTGATAACTCCCTATACGAAACCGGATCGAAATAGTAGTTGGCCGCATAAAAGCGGATAAAAGAGCAAGAAGAAGAAAAGAAAAAGGAAGAAAGAAAAATCGTAAAGTGGAAATGGAAGGTGGAGAGAGAGAAAGAGAAAGAGAGAGAGAGAGAGAGAACGGAAAGACGCGATTGATTTATGGTAACAAGAGGCCGCGAAGCGTGGTAAGTGGGCTATTTTTCAATGAAGCCAAGGGAGCGAATGAATTCTCTCGGGGAAATGGAATTTTGAGCGATTCGTGCTCGCTTCAACGGCGTATCAAAAGCCACGGTTGCCCGTCATACGTGCCTCAGTCAC